TTCCAACACGGATATATTCCCCAGAAAGCGATCAGGTAGGAGAACTGGACTCAATAGTGAGTGAAAAAAACGGAAAAAGTCAAAACATTTCAGGTAAAAAAAAGGGGAAATAATCAAACTTCAATGTTAAATAGTTTTGAGTCTTTCTTTAGAAAATAAAAGACATTGAATTGTTTTTTTTTGGTAAGAAATAAAACTGAAAATGGTTGTTTACGTTGACAATCTGGTCTTTATGATGAGGGAGCATCGTCCTTCATCTGAAGGCCGAATGTCTGAGTCACTCTGTGCTGCCCACAGCGCCCCCTGCTGGCCAGGCCACAGAAAACCACAGGACAGGGTTGAATTTCACAACAAATAAAATTTATTCAATTATATATTACAAATATGTACAAGTCATGTAACAAGTAAATATTAAAATAGACGTTTTTTTAGAACTATCGTTCAAAAGGCATTATGTTGAAAAAATAGGATTTGTTGTGATCTCACATTGAAACTGTAAAAGTTTTTTTTTTCTTTTTTTTTTCCTCGGAAGCCACAACCGACTTTGATGTGCGCGAGACACGACTGGACGACAGATGAGGAGTGAGGCGGCGAGCGAGGCCGAACGCCGCACGGGTGGGGGGGGGGGGTGGATGGGTGGGAAGGGAAGAGAGAACCGAAAACACCTCAGTAAACCTCACGACTAAGTCCACGGTACAAACATCGCATCGCATGCACGGCGCCGGACCGCCCACGTCCAAGAAGCGCCAGCTGTGGCGTGGAGCTCCAGATGTGGAGGGAGGAAGCGGCCAAAGGGGGGGAGAAAAAAAAAAAACAACACAACGAAAGCCGACACATGCTTCGGAGCCAACAGCGACGAGAAACATCACGGACGAAGAAGAGGACGCTCGATAGAAAAACAAAAGCAACTTTGGTCCATTGAAACGTCAGACGGGTTTACAATCAAAATATCTATTTTTGTTTTTTTTACAGGTTTGAAACAATAATTACATGACTATTTACAAATGCACATTTCTTATGTATAAAATAAGTTAAAAAAAAATCAAGAGCACAGTCTGTACACAACGTATGAACACTCGGAGGACGCTGGCGCCCCGGGCGGCGTGGCGCCCAGCCCCGCCCCCCCGCCGCCCTCCGGCCGCCGTCTGTGGTCTGGAGCCCCTTTCCCCCGCTCGCCCTTCGTGCCGGCGCCCTTCCCGGGGTCGAGCCGTCTCTTTTCCCAAGTGCCCCTTTGTGTTGGCGCCACATTCTAAGTGCTTCACATTTTCTTTTTTTTCTTCTTTTTTTTCCCGCCGCCGCTCATATGGGGGTGAGATCGAAGTCGTCGTTGACCTCCACGAGGGGGATGTAGAACTCGGGGATCTCGAAGATGCTGGTGGACTTGTAGGTGGCCGGGTCCAGCTCCTGCAGCTTGAGCTGCCACTCCAGACGCTGCACGGCGTTCAGGGCGGCCGCCTCGTGCTGCTGCCGCATCAGGAGGCACGTCTGCGGGAGAGAGCAGGCGCATTATACGTGGATCAAGATTGAGCTGCGACAGGTCTCGCAGCTGCGGGAATCAGCCAGCGAGCGCGGTGCATGCTGGGATATATGGCTGCGCCAAGCCTTCATTTCAATTTCCACTCGTGTGTAATAACCTCAAAATGGCTAAAATTGAAATGGAAAAGTTCCCCTCCACTATGTGATAAAAATGTTGCACTACCTTTTATACATTGTTGTTAAAAGATGAACTGTTACAAAAACACCACGTCACTGACATTAGCTCGGGAAAAATAATAATAAAACAGCTGTTTATTCATTTTGGGAGTGGACGGAGTCATCAGAACGCGTCAGAACGGTTTGTGCTCTATTAATAAAGGTTGACTGGACTCATCGATCCCGGCCACTACTGGAGCTTCTACTCTATGCACCTTAAATTGGGAAATAAATAAATAAATTGGGAATGGATATGATGCTTCCTGTTCCTTCGAAAGCAGGAACAAAGAGGAGGGAAATGTTTAAGAACCCAGGTCTTTTATTTTTATTATTTTTTTAAATAATGGACAGATGTGGAAAATGTCTGAAACAGGTGGAAGAACTGACATTTCCCACGGGGGAGGCTGTCTCTGAAGGGGTTGGGAACCCCCAGATCTGCTGGAGGCCGGCTCTCACCTTCAGCTTGTCGAACTTGTCGTCGACGTCCTGCAGCCAAGACATGAACTGCCTGGCGTTGAAGCGGTCCCTCACCGACGTTTTGCCGTCCTCGTTCTGTGGATCAGAAAGCGGAGACTTTGGTCCGGTTTGGTCGGGCCGGGAGCGGGGAAAAGGCGGCGGAGTGTGGACTCCGGGGCCGGGGGGGGCTGCTCACCTGCACGTCCTGAGGCATGTTGTACACCTCGGCGTCCAGCAGGACGGTGCAGGCGCTGAACGGCAGCGTCTGATTGGCCAGCGTTCTGGCCGCCCGGTAGTGGACCCGGAGGACCTCCTGCTCGTTGGACACGATCAGCTTTTCCTGAGAGAGAAACCGAAGGTTAAAAAAAACGGCGTGGCGACCGGGTGGGGCTGGCGGTGTCGAGGTGGGGGGGCGGGGCCTTACCCGCTCGATGCTGTGCTGCAGGCGGAGCTTCATCCGGACCACCTCCTGCTGCTTGAACATCTCCTTCAGCTGGTCCGGCAGCGACGGGGGCGGGGTTATCTGCAGAACAGAACAAATCTGTGAGCGACGGTGGCGTTGCCCGGCGGCGGCTTTGCCCGGAGGCAGCGCCCTGGCGGGTGGCGGACTCACGGTGGGGATGCAGAGCTTGCTGAGCGGGTTCCCGTCCAGCAGGTAGGAGCCGTTGAAGGTGACGTACTCGTCGTAGTACTGCGGCGGCTGCGGCGTGACGCTGCACAGCACCTTGCGCTTCTCCTCGATCTTGCGGCGGATGTGCAGGAACTCGTAGTAGGGGTTGGCCCGCTCCGTCTGGTACGGCTCAATCTCCTCCAGCTTGATGGAGTCCACGATGGCGGCCAGGGACTGCTGGCCCCGTGGCTCCGGCGGGGCCGAGCCCGGCGGCGCCGGCCCGCACAGCCGGGGCATCTTGCGCTTGCGCGGGTGGGGCAGGTGGAGGTCCGCCTCCTCCTCGCACGGGCGGAGCTTGAGCCGCGCCCCCGAGGAGGAGCAGGAGGAGGAGTCGGACTCGCGCTCGCCGCTCTGAGGGGAGGAGCTGCCCGAGGCGCTGCTGCTGCTGCCGCTGTCCGTCTGGGGGGCCGGCTGGACCGAGCTCTGGACCGAGCTCTGGACCGAGCTCTGCGCCTGCTCCTCGTCGGACTCGGGCTTCTCGTCGGTGGCGGCGCCGACCTCCATGGGCTGTGGGCGGAGCTCTGCTCTGGGCTCGCAGCCCTCCGAGTCCTCGCTGCCCTCGGCCGAGCAGCTGTCCGCCGTGAGCGAGACCGACGCCGCCCTGCTGCTGTCCGAGCTCTGCGGGACGTCGGCCGGCTCCTCGGCCCGCGGCTCCGGGCCCGGACTGGGAGCGCCGTCTTCCGGCTGGGCCTCCGGACCCGGAGCGCAGTCCTCCGCCCAGCACCTGGACTCCGTCTTGTTGCCAGGCGGAGAGGACTCTCCCACGGGGGAGCTGGTGGACGGCACCGGACTCCCCGCCCTGTCCGCTCTCAGGTGTTCCGCGCACGGCTCGGAATTCTCCGGTTCGGACCCGCCGGGATTCTCTGGGAATTTCAGCTCGGGCGGCCGCGGGCTCCCCGCCTCGGCCTGATGCTGGTTCTCGGAGGCGGGCGCTGGTGGGAGCGGCTCGCCGGCCGGGGAGCAACAGCTGGACGCGGTGAGCTGGTCGGCCTCGGCCTGCGGGCCCTCGGCGGGGCAGGGGCCGTCTGCCGGCCCCAGCGGGTCGGGGGAGGGGCTCCGGGCCTCTGCTGCTCCCGCTGGTGGCTGCGGGGGGGTGAGGGTTTTCCATGGAAGCTCTCTGGTCGGCGGCTGTGCAGGCGCGCAGCAGCCGGCCGGGCCCCACTCCCTCTCGGCCGGGGGCTCTGGAGCGGGATTCAGACACGGCTGACCGGCGGCGGCGCCGGCCTCCTCCGGCGCCGGGCTCTCCGGCTTTCTGGGCTCCTCTTCCGTGATGGCCGTCAGGCCGGAGTGGGCCGGGGGCTCCGCGGGTCGGATGTCGGCCTCCTCGTCCAGGATGGCCCTGAGGTAGGGCGACTCGTGCCTGACCGCCGCTGCCGGCGTGCGGCCGCCTGGCGGCACGTCTGGAAGACCGCCGCACTCCCTGTCGTGCACTGAGGGAGACCTGGCGGCTTGGATGACGAGGGAAGATTGGAGGAAGGCGGGCTGGGAGTCGGAGGCCTCCGGGTTGATGTCGGAGTCGTACTCGGCGATCCGGGGGGTCAGCGTGGCGGCCTGGCAGGAGTCCTCGGAGCTGGCCACGGAGACCAGGGACACGGAGCGGGACATGAGGCCGCAGCGCTCGCTCTCCGGCCGCGGCGAACGGCTCAGGCAGCTCTCCACGGCGGAGAGGACCTTGGCACCCAGAGCCGGCAGGCTCTTCCCGTCCAGGGACAGCGTCCGGGGGCCGGCGGCCTCCTTCAGGGAGCGCTCCCGGGCCTGGGCATCGGAGGCGTCCGAGCTCCGGGAGCGCGTCAGCTCCTTGCTCAGGCAGGGCTCGGGTTTGGGCCGGTCTTTGGGCCGGGACTTCCCCGAGTCGGCCGGGGGCCGCTGCTTGAGCCGCTCCCGCTCCTTCTGCTTGATTTTTTCCATGTGCTTCCGGTGCCACAGCTCGATTTCCTGGTCTTTCAGGCTGAGCATGCGCTCGAAGCTGGTCTGCATCAGGTCGTCGTTGACGAGCCGCTTCTCTTTGGGCTTGTTGTCGCGGGCCGGGGGGGCTTTGGACTTGGCCTTGTCTGCGTCGGCCTTGCCGGTTCGGGCCTGCGGGGGCCGGTCTCTGTGCCGGTCTTTGTCCTTGTCTTTGTGTCTCTCCGAGTCTCGGTCTCGCCGGTCGCGGTCCTTCTCTGGCGTCCTGACGACGTCCTCCTTTGACTTTGTGGAGAGGAGCTTGCCGCCGTCGGACAGATAGCTCTTCTTTTCTTCTAAAAGCGATTTCAGATTGGAGCTGGAGGACAGAGCTCCATCTCTGATCTTATCTCTCTTCTTCCTGTCGCAGTCCCTTTCTTTGGAGCGGTCGGACTTGCCGTGGTCGGCGGCCTTCTCCAGAGGCTTTCCTCTCCTATCAGTGGCGGCGCCGCGCTCTTTGTGATCGCCGGCGCTGTACTCCCTGTCCGGCCTCTCCCTGTCCGAACGCTTGTCCGGCTTATCTTTGTTTTTCCTGCCGTCTTCGTGCTTTTTCGCCGCCGATAGAGATTTCAGCTTTTCACTCTCTCTGCAGTTTTTATCTCCTGGCGAGGGGGAAGAAATGGCCGTCGCTCTCTCTTTTTCCTTCCATCGCTCCACTGAATTCTGGGCCTCTGCTTTGTCGGCGTGCTCCGTTTTGATCTTTTTTTCCTTGTCAGGGTGCCTTTTCTCCGCTTTGTCCGAGTCCTTCTCCTTCCCTGGGAGCCTCTTGTCGGGCTTCTCGCGGGAGCCTTTGTCGGGAGGCTCCAGCTGTTCCTGATCAGCTGGGATCCCGCTTACGGCTTTCTCCTCCGTCTCCTCTTTCATGCTGTTGCTCTGCGGCGGCTCCTCAGGAATCCGCCCCGAGCCGTGGCAGTCCACCTTCTCCTCCCGCTCGCTGGGCTTCCAGTCCTTTGCCTTCTCCCCGTTCCCAGCCGACTCCTTTCGCTCCTTTTTCAGGGCCTTGTCCTTTTCCCGCTCCTCGCGCGGCCTCTTGTCCTTGCTGCTGGAGTACTTCTCCTTGGCGTTTCTCTCGTCTTTGGCCGGGGGGGAATCGGCCGCCTTCTGCAGCGAGCTGGCGTCCTCACCTTCCCTTTTCGCTCCCAGGGGCTCGTCTGTCTCGTCGCTTTTGAAAAAATTCTCTTTCCAGAACTCTCGGTCGAATTCCAGATTCCTGTGGCCGTCTTTCCTGGCGTCCTTTTGCCTGTGGCGGCTCCGCTCGGCCTCGTACTCCCGCCTGTGTTTATCCTTCTCCTTGTGTTTGAGTTTATGCTTTTTGACGACTTTGCCGTCTGGGTCCGTCTTCCGGAAGGCCCCGTCGCAGCCGTCCACGCTGTTGCCCGTGCTGCCCTCTTTGTAGGGGCTCAGCCGGCCGTCGTCCCCGTCGCACTCCTTCTGCTGGTGCTTGCTCTTTTCCTTGTGCTTGCAGCCCTTGGTGCTGGAGCTCTCGGTGCAGAAGTCGGCCTCGGCGAAGTGGTTGTATTTGACGCCGTCCATGGGACAGGGGCCGTCGCTGATGGAGACGCACGTCTTGGTGTTCTCCTGCTTGAGCGGCGTTTGCTTGTCTGCCAGGCTGTGGTTCAGCTTGGGAGACTTGATGGACGACAGGTGGAAGAGGTGGACGGAAGAGTCGTCTTTGGGGCTGAAAGACATTTTGAAGGAGTCCTCCTCCCGGCCCTTCTCCGTGCTCTCGGACACCGTGGCCAGGGACAGGACTAAGGTTTTGCTGTTTTCTTTGCCGTCCTCCTGGTTTTCCTTGTTTTTGTTCTGGCTTTTGCTCTTCCGCTTCACTTTGCCCTTGTCCCTTTGCTCTGCATTGTCCTTTTTGGACCTGGTGTCCGGCCGGTGGCTCTCCGAGCTCTGAGAGCAGGTGGGCGAGCTTCTCTTTTCCGGCAGGCTCTCCATCTCGTCGCTGGAGGTGTCGGAACTGCAGTGGACGCGAGGGGCTTTCTGCTTTTTGGACTTCGAGGAAGGGTCCCCCTTGCCGCCCTGCTTTCCGGCCACGTGATTCCGGTCTTTGTCGTCCTTCTCTCTCTGCCGGAGCTCCCTCCTGAGGATGTGTCTATCGTTTAGGGCTTTGCTCAGATCCTCCTCTTCCTCCTCGTCCTTAAACTCGTACTCGTCCAGGCCCGGCATGGACGACGAGGCTTTTGTGGCCAGCTTGCCATCTGAGTCCTTTTCGGTGTCGGAGTCCTCCATGTTGTCATCCACACTAGACGGATTGACAGACGGCGGGTCCTCAGATTCTGTTGAGAGGAGAAGATCAGTTTTAAATCCAATAAACAAAAGTTTTCTGTATTCTCATCTCACCACGAGCTACTACTGTAAGAATGTGATGGTTTAGTTATACTCGGCTCATCTGTATATCTAACAGCGTTAAAGCCCACACCATGATGCCTCCCTGGACCGGGCCCGGTCCCGTACACACACCTGAGGAGGTTTCATCTAGTTCCGAGAGCCCCACTTCTCCCTTTAAGAGCTGTTCCAGCTCCTGAGAGTCGGCCACGTCCACCGGCCGCTCCCCACGCTTGTTGGCTTGGAAGGCGTTTCCCCCGTGACGGAGGAGGAGTTTGACAATCTGCATGAAACGGCACGGAAAAGAAAAACAAATGATTCTCAGAACAGCCAACGTAAGAAAAAGACCTAAAGTCATACCGGAGAAAATAAGCAATAGGCTTGGTTAAGAGAAAAGCTGGAGGGTTCAAACACCTCACTGAACACGGCCTCATTGGCTTCTGGTAATTTAAAAAGGAAGCAACCATTTACCTTTGGACTGAGGTTACATTTTAAAGTGTTACATGATGCAATTATGTCATACACCCCCCGCTATCCCCTTCCTGCTTTTAAATGCTCACATCCTGTTTGCTTCCCTTTTTACGCAGACCTTTTTTTTCCTTTTTTTTTTAAAATCCATCTGTTCCACGCATGTCCGACCTGTTCAGAGAGCCTAATCTGGGTCTTCCCCTGTGCAGCCCACAGATGCGAGCGGCTGTGACGGATGCCTTACGTCTTTGTGCCCGCTGCTGGAAGCATCGTGGAGCGGCGTGTCGTCATCCAGGCCCTGCGTGTTCACCTCCGCACCCGCCGCTATCAAAACCTTGGCCACGTCGTAGTAGCCCAGGTTGCAGGCCTCGTGAAGAGGAGTCCAGCCTGAGAGGAGCGAGAAGGTTTGTTTAAAGGTTATTCGTGTCGCTTTCTGTCGAATTCATACGCAAAACAAAACAAAAAACAAAATAAAATCCAGCATCTGCACAGGAAGCACAAATGTGCTGGTTTTCCTGTTTTCTCGTCCTCAGATACGATCTTTGATCGGCAGCTGTTGCTCAGCCAGACGTCATTAGGCAGACTAAATGGAAGCTGGTTAATTATTATCTCCTGTGGCATCGTACCTGCAAAGTCTTTGACGTTGACATCGGCTCCGAGGCTAATGAGCTCCTTAACTTGCTTGGCATCTCCCCGGATTGCTGCCATGTGAAGCGGAGTCTCCCCACGCTCGTTCCTCTTGTTGACTTTGTCCTTTTGGCGAGACGAGGCGCTGCTGGGGACCTTCTTCTGGACGGGGGTCGTTTGCGAGGGGTGGCTAGGTGTAGAGTCTGGACACGGGAAGAGACAAGAAAGGAATTAACTGGTGCTCTGGGCAAATATTGAAAAGCAGAGGCAACATATATTCAGGGCCTCGGACATGGGCACAGTTTTGTAATGCAGCCATTTACCCAAATTCGTTTAAGTTCCGATGCTGGTGAGAGATCATTATTAACCAACCCCTAGAAAGCCTGCTAAATACAGAGCCTCCAGAGCAGAAGGGCCCAAAAAGACAGAGCAGTTCAGAGCAGATCAGATCAGGCTGGAACTAAGATGGGAAAAAAATATCTGGAGAAATCTCACTAAATGCTGAGGTCTATACTCTCAAGTGTAAGGAGACGTGCCCAAATTCAAAATGCAGCGCACTGAAAAATGAAAAAGTTTCATTATCTGCTGAAGTTAACCTTCTGAACTTCTGAGGATAAAAAAAAAAGCAGAAAGACTCACAAATAAACACAAATCCAGCAGAGGCCTTTCAACGCACCCATCACTGAGTGATGGCGGTTAGCTACATCTGTTTATCCAGCTTTGTTTGGGAGCATTCGCCTTCTGCTCCAATGTAGGACTCAGAACTCTGCTCTTCAGTTGAAGTTCGACCGCTAAGTTTTGAGAAGCACCTCATTTTGATTAGCAAGATTGGACTGAGCGGCTCAGTAAATCCGGTTTCACGGGAAATTTGTATGACTCTTAAAGGTCAACTGCTTAAACAGTTTACAGGCTAAATAAATGATTCATAAGATATCAAGACTTTCAGTCAAACTGCTCAGAAGCATGAGTCATCCCACAGTAAATACACTCGAGGAGCTGAGAGGCAGCCACACAAACCTGGACTGTTGGCAGTCATCTGCATCAGGAGAGCCATCTGCTTCCGCTCCGACAGCGGATACCCAAACAAAAGATTCGGGGCCTGGGACTTTTTGCTCCCGGCCTCCTTCTTCACCTTCTTCTTGTCGGGCCCATCTTTATCTGCAACAGAACCGAGAGAGATGTCAGAGGAACGATCCGAAACCGGTCTTGATTTCTTTGGCAAACCCGCACGTCAGGGCCACAGAAACACACTGTCCTCCTCCTCATGTATCTGTTGTGCTTGCAGAGAAACAGATGACAAGATTGAGGTTTAAAGGGGAAGAAAAAAAAAAAGAAAGGGGGAGCTAAGAAGAAAAAAAGAAAGGTAAAAAAAAGAAAAGAAAGAAAAGATGGCATTCTCTTAAGCCAGCCCAGAGCAGACGGCCCTCCTCGGGGTCCCCCCCGTCCTCGGTCGGTCGCTCATTGCTAAACACAGACATGCTGAGCTGTAACGGGGGCCAGATGCAAGGCCAGAAACACACACACGTGCATGTGTGCGTGTGTGACTACAGCGGAACGGCAGCGCGGGGCGGGTGGCGCGGCTCGAAGAGGAAAGGGGGGGGGGGGGGGGGGGCTGAGGATCGGGCTGCAGCGGTTACCTGCGTAAATCCTGCAGGGAGGCACTAATCTCTCTCCCCAGGTCTCACTCGACTGGCCTGGGTCTGAGTCATCTACAGTGCAAAGCAGAGAGGATGGGGAGGAGGGAGGGAGGAAGGGGAGGGAGGGGAGAGCAAGGAGGGGGATGGAGGGGTGGGAAAGCACTGCATTAACGCTCTCACACCCTCCACATTTCACATGTACTCAAACACAGCAGCACGCTCCACGCTACGGATTATGAGTCATGGCGACACAGGAGGCGGAAGAGGAGATCCAACCGGGGCGGTCAGAGGCATTACTCCGTTTGTCCAGCTGCTCGGGACCTGAGAGGCACTGTGAAGGGGGGGGGGGGCTGCTGGAAGGCAAAAGCCACCCTCAGAGCTAGTTTACACTTCAAACCTGCACAACACAAATTATACTTTAAACTGAAGGCTCTCATCCGTCAGAGCGAAGCAGGACCACACAAAGAAAATCATTAGGTTGAGATGAAGACGAGGCGTCGGCACTCTGTGAGCACACGCCTCGCAGCACACAAACCTACCTCTGGGTCCTAAATCTCATGTAAACATTCAGTCATGCTCAGAACCAAACGATGGAAGCGGGAATTAGCTCGCTGAAGTCAGAGAGTGAGGTTAAGGTGGCTGAGAGGTGGATTGACTGAGCCCTTTATCTCAGTGCCACTGCTCGGTAGGATTCGGGACTGCTGTAAAACGCTTGCACCTTCCTGAACGGTTAAAGTGATTCAGCCTGTTACTTCCCATCTCTGAGGTTCAGGTCTTGTGCTGGGCCTCTGCTTTTGTTGTAAACGATACCACTACAGGGGATTAAGCAGCAGGACAGAGTCTGCGGAGCAGGCTGGGGGTGAGCTACAGTGTCAGGATTTAGTCTTATGAAAGAACACATGAGCCAGCAGAACAGTTTAATGCCTTTTTAACCATTTCGGGGGAACGACGGAGGTCCTGTGACACCGAGGAAAAGGATCCCACCATCCCCGGCTGCACAAATCACTCTTCACAGGCTGTTCTTTGTGCGCGAATCCTACAAAATGCCGAAACCAGCAAACTGCACATAGGTTTATCATAGGTATGTCGGCTGTTGGGGGGCTGATCTCTGGTGTGGCAGAGGAATCAAATGGAGAGAGCGCTACTTCAGCCAGCAGCAGCTTTTTTGGGTAAAGTAAGTGCAATGGAAGCGTCACAATGAGCGTTTCAATGACTCATACCAGCAACGGACTGATACCAGAGAACGACTGAACGTCATCCTGCAATATCTGCTTTAAAAAATAATTTAATATCAGTCTGATGATGGAATGAGAAGAAATCTCAGCCTCCCTGGGGAATTATTCATTTAAAAAAAGTTGGAAAATGAAGCTATCTGCACGCTCTATAATTTGTAGAAAACAGACAGCATCAAAAGAAAAGCCAAAGGATTAAAAAAAAAAAAACATATCCTTAATATGCGTCTCATTTCTGTTTTAATTCTGAATCCTGTTTTTATGCCTTCTATACCGTAAAGCAGAAGAGCACAGCTACACCAGCTGCGGGTGAAGCTGAGTGACGATGTTCCACAAATGCTTGTTTTTCTATTAAAAAAACAGAGTGAAATAAACAGGATGCTGGGTGATAAATCGGAAGCTTTGCGTTAGCATATCGTACGTTCCGGCGTGGTTTTGCTCATTGCTGTGTTACAAAGAACAGGCTCAACTTTGTCACCTAGATCAGATTTGGCCCCTTTTGTCCTTCCACGACGGGCCCATGGTGGACCTGGAGGAGGTGTGACGGGCCAGCAGGGGGCAGTGTGAGGACATGGCAGTGAGCCAGCAGCGTGGCAGTTTGGGGAGAAACAACAAGGCTCCTCACCAGTGTCAGAGTCCCGCTCCTCTGTCCGGGGCGGGCTCGTGGTGAAGGACAGCTTGCGCTTCATGGAAGACTTGGCTTTCCCTTCCTTCCCCAGCAATTCACTCCGGTCCAACTTCGGAGTTTTGGTGAAAGGGGACAACTTGTCTTTGCTCTGTGGGATGAAACACAAGGAGAGACACAGACAGACACGGTCAGACACTGCAAAGGTGTGGCTACGACTGGGAGCTGTGTATGTAAACAGAGCAGCTCTGCCTGTAAATAGTCCGGGCGGCTCCATTCAGAAAGCTCAGGTAACTAGTTTGACGACAAAAAAGGAACGCTTGCAGCCCGAGGGGAAGATTTTCGGGCGGAACAACGCTTGAAAAAACTCAGCACTAATCAAACAAGGTGCAGATGATTAAATCAAGATGCGCGCTGTGCCTCTGCAGCCCACGGTTACGGGCCCGACTCAGGTCCCTGCCGAACACGGAAGAGGACGTGGCACCTGTGCAGAATTCGGACCGTTTCCACCCGGGATGAGAGTGGACACGCGACAGGACTGTGTGTGACCCAGTTTGGTCCCGCTTCAGTTGTTTAATTCATGTCAGAAAATTGGGGAAATCTGCTTTTCTTTTTTAGACTGATGTCGGATTGACACGTTCCTGAGGGTTGCTGTCTGATAACTCTATAAAGCACAGAAATCACCAGCCGTCCTGGCACGCTCGTAGATGTCCTCGTTGACCCGCTCCAGCATCCAGCAGCAGCCACAGGCTGAAGCGGTAAGGCCAGCAGCATCAGCATAAACACAGCCGCTGTCTTTTCTTTTTTTTCTTCTTTCTCTCTTTTGCACAGCGATCAGCAGACAAAGCTTTTTTCAGTACCATTACTTTCAGTCAGCTGCGTTTCGGGGCTGTAAAATACATTTCTGGCAGGAGGAAAACGTCTGCGGAGTGGTGGCTCTTTGATCTCAGAGAGGCTACGTGCCAGCTGTGCGAAGCTAAAGGGTCTGAAACTGTTGAAAGTGGAGAGGAGCTCGACTGTGAGGTAAGCTCATTTTTAAAAAATAGAGCAACAATCGCTTTTCTAGAGAAGAACAATTAGGCTGGATGAGTCTAAAAACACATCTCTGTAGTTTGCTGGACACTAAAACTTTAATTGCTTGTTACCAGGCTAACACACACACACGAAAAGTGGTCCGAAACATAAAAAAGGCATTACTGAACTGATAGACATCCAGCTGCTGGTTTGGACTTTACAGAGCAAACTGGGACAGATCACCGTGTTGTTAAGATAATCTCCCTGTTATTGTTCTAATAGAAAAAGAATCATAACAGCATGGCGTACATCTTAAAACGGACACAGTTGTGACTGAAACCTGCCACAGAAAATGAGGCAGGATTTGATAAAATGCAAACATGTGCTCAGGCCCAGAACCTTCAGCCCCAAGGGAAGCAGAAAGACAACCATCTAGATAAGACATCAGCCCTTATGGAACCCCCGAGAGGGAAGACTCCGTCTGGCAGGTGGGACTCTGACGTCAGCGCCCAAATTTGAATCCTCTTCCCTCTTAAGGAACGGTCAGTGTTAACATACCTTCTTCCCTGCCTGCTTATCCACCATGGCTCCATCTCGGTCGCTCCCAGGTTTGGCCATGGCGCGGCGCCCGACTAGCTTAGACGGCTACAGCACAGTCGGCTCATCATGCACCTGGAGACAAAAGAGCAGAGACACGTCACAGTCTGAAAAGAGGGCTTAGCTCCTGATCCTTTGTATAAAAACAAAAAAACACAACCTGTGCTACCACGTTGGCTTGAGAAATGGACAGTTTTAAGAGCACAAGTAACCGGCTGAGCCCACACAAAGCAGTGATGTGACGAGCTCGAAAAGGGGCTGCCACCGAGTGCAACTCGGCTGGGCTTTCTCAGGATCAGTGACCAGGGTTTTTTACTGAAATTTCCATTCCACTTTTGTAGAGTGACCTGAAAGAAGAGTCAGGAAGCAACAACACGAGGCGGCATGAATCAGAGCTTTGGGGACTCTCGCGTCTCGGGGAGGAAAACGCCCCTCTGTGTGCCGTCACCGTGGCCCTCTCATCAGTGTAACCGAGCCCTTCTCTGATGTGGTTCAGGACAGAGGGCCTGAGTGTCGACAGGGTGCACTATGGGTGCCTGTAAAGCCCCAAAACTGGGCCGAACCGGCTCATGAAGCCAGCATGATGTGTGTCAGTCACATGAGGAGTCTGTCATAAGACTCCTTTTTCCAAGCACTTTGAATGAACTTTCCTTTCTTCCTTTTTACACGCCGACACTGTTAGATTATGCAGAGAGGGTTTTTTTTCTGCTTTTTGAAAGTCCCACTAGCAGCTCGGTCGATTATTAAAGGCAACAGAAACCGGGCAAGCTGTTAAGCAGACGCTAAGACGATGAGGGAAAGCCCCATTACTCAGCCTAATCACAAACTTTGGAGAAGAGTGACAGTTGACATTTAGTTTGTTTCTGAAATAGCTCGGCTTTATTAATTCTCAGGTATGGCCCGTATCCATGCAGAACCGAGTGAGATGACTCTGATCAATACGCTGTCTTATTATAGATTATAAGTTATTCAAAAACAGCATTAAAAGACATATGAAAACCTAATGTGATATTTATGGTAAACAATCTTTCAAGAATTTGGAGTCCACGCAAGAGCAATGCCAACAAAAATCTATTTTTTAAATGAAGGCTGAAGCCTGCCAGCCTTGTCCTTTGTGACCAATTCTTCCTCTGTGCCCTTCCTGTGACACATGTGGGGGACAAATCTCTAAGGGAAAGAACACCCTCCAAAAAGAAAAAGAAAAAAAAACTTCAAGTTAAGGTTAAGTTAAAACCGCAAGCAGCGACAGTGACCGACGGGAACAGGAAGTCAACAGCAAAAGCTTTCAGAGGACATTTATCATTACAGATGTTTTACACACTCAACATGTTGTTACAATGGTGTAACAATACGGTTTCTCATTCACATTAGACTAAAAAATATGTTTAAAAAAGTCACCTTTCCTCACTAAATCCTTATGTCTGAGAGCAACACTTTCTTTCTGCAGACACCGTTCCAACCTTTGCTGCTCCCCCATAATAGAAGTGTGTTGACAGGTACGGTGTGTTGCACGGCCCGGGTCAGCGAGAGGGCCGCCATTAGTCAGCAAACTGCCGCTGTGCTGCGGCACTGTGGGGCGGGCGGCCGGAAAGGGGGAACCGAGCCGCCCACAGAGGGCAGGTTGGAGCATCGGAGCGGTACGGACGGGCCGGGACCGGAGCAGAAAACAAACGCTGACAGGACTCGGATCTGAGTGGGGAGAGGCGAGGAGGGTGTGACTATAATTACTGAGGTATTTGGGCACCCGCCAGTTTGGCACTCGCCTCCGCTGCCTTTCAGGAGCAGCTCAGGGCTGCGGCGGCTCGGCCATTAACCTTGAGCCGCCTCGCGCCTGGATCGAAACGCCTTTACGACAGCTTGGGTGAACTGAAACTACAGCCCTGGTTGCTTTGGCGCGGGACGTCCCGCACTGAAAACGGCATCGTGGCTCCGACTGCTCTAACCTTCCTATCCTCAGTAAAACTGGGAGTCACAACTGGAAAATGCTGGAGGGTGTCCCATAAAGAGACGTGACACCAGTGACCCCGGGATGACTTCTTTCCTCTGCGCCGACTTAAGCAGTGCGGTAAATATTTCAGAAGCCGACGAGAGGACCCGGACGGGAGTCAGAAACTAAGTGTTTCAGCTATTCAACGTCAATATCTCGGTTTCCCTCAAAACGGCGGCAAGTTGGACAGTGAGGCTGAAACGTAAACAACCAAATAGCAGCTTTCTTTAACTGGGAGCTTCCATATCTCTATTAAAAATGTCATTTTGAAAGCAATGACCCCAAACTTTCCCTACAATTACCATCCTCCTTTTAAACCATTAGAAGTAATACTCAGTGCCAGCTGGTTTTTAACCTCACCAGTGCTTTTTGGACAGATTATTGCACACATGTGAACAACAACAGGCTAAAACAAAAATTAAGCGAGGAATCTTTTTCCTCCCATCTGAAGTGAGTCATTGGTATGTTTGGTGAGCTGGTAGCCTTGCTGCTCCTTCTGAGAAGCAGATGTCTCTGTATTTATTTATAACATGATGTTCCTCCACTTTAACTCCACCGGTTACTGGCTAACAACAATGCCAGCCATTTCCCTGTGGTGCTGGGGCACGTTGGCCCTGACAGCAGAGCTCCGGCTAATGCATGTCCTTGCGTGAGTGCGGTGGTTTGGGGGTTATGGAGTTGGTGGGGGAGCTGGTTTATGACGGGCGGGGGGCTGGGGGGGGGGGTTGTGGTGGTCGGAACTGGAATGGATGGAGAGCACACACAGTACGGGTAACCTGATCCACTGACTGCAAGATGGGACGGGGAGGGAGGGGGGCTAAGAATAGCAGGAGCCTGACACACACAGCTCGCAGAAGCACGCTGCTGCTACCAGCCAGCAGCGGCAGAAACATTACTCCACTACAGCTCCCACAGAACCGCCTGCTGGGAGCTCTCACACACACCATGTGGAAAATGCATGTGATTTTTCCTTCCTCTCCCATGTGGCTGCACTTACGGCTGCATCTACAAGGAATCTGCTGAGGGAAAGACGGAGGGGAAAAAAAAGAAAAAGAAAACACGGTTTGAAGGCTCTCCAGGGGCTTCAAAGTGTTTTAAATAAAGCTGAATTACAAGGAAGGATACCGACAACCTAAAGCAGACACAGAGGGAGTTTTTACTACAAAAGGAGGCAAACAAATGTGAATCGCACCCGAGGAGACGCGCTATGCTTGCTGCAATGGTAAACATCCAGTCACGTGGTCCCGGTCCCTCTGCTAAATGATGGGGGAGGTCTCTCTCAGCCGCACATCCACTCCCCAGCCTTCCTCCTCACCCTCCACCTCCTCCCCCGACTCCATAATGAGAAGCAGGACAAAGGCAGAAGAAAGGCGCCGCTACTGAGAGCACAGCGGAGGGGCGGGGGGGCAGGCGGGCGGGGGGGGGGGCAACAATAACCAGCTCAGAGCCACCCCATCGTCAGCATCGAGACACACAGGAGATCCAGATTTTTTTTTGCTTTTTCTGGCTGTGTTCTGAATGAGGAGGGGGGAGTTTACCATCCAGCTGTGAGACAAAGCAACCTTTTAATCGTTTTTCATTTTGCTCCCTCGAAATTTAATCTATTTCACTGATAACATTATTAAGCAAGAAGACAACCGTCAGATGAACTCTGAGGTAAAACGAGTCTTTTGCATCTGAGCCTCGCGTTTAAAATCTTCATGTGGAACCCTTTCAGACTTCAAGCCAATAAAGAAAAAAAGAAAAGAAATGAAACCGAATATGACTGATCTCTCCTGTATTAAATCCATTTCATGCTCCGACTGGGGTAAGGTCATCCCTGCGCAGCTGAAAGGCGGCGCGGCCCCCGCTCGTCCTGTCGCTGGCTGCTCTGGACCGCGGGCAGATTTCCACACGGACAAACAAACAGCAAAAGACAGTGGATGCCCGGAGGCGTCTGTTCACCTCTCACTTCCCTCGGCCCAGACGGAGGAAGCACGCCTCCTCCGACCAGTGTCTGGCCTTCATTTCCAACGGCTGCTGGGTCGCATGAATAAATCCAGCGGCATCGCTGGGACGGGTGGAGTTTGGATTTAAAAAACCACTCGTACGGGGAAAGCCTCGGCCTCCCTTGCCGGTCCTAATCAGACTGAAACGCTGTTTACACTGACCCTGAACCCGATCGTTTCACCCGTGTGGCTGCCACCATCGCAGATTAGCGCCGAATGGGATGGAGGCCTCTTGCCGTTTAAATGGGGGTGATAATCTGGATTAACGGCACTGACCGCACAAGTAATCATTTTCATCTTACAAAGCTTGTTGCTTTAATTTCATCCATGTCGAAAAATGCCACCATAAAAAGTTTTGTTGTGTAATAAATAATCGTCTGAGCAACATGCTGTTTTTACGGCCCAGGAAAATATTTTTGAGTCCCCGAATGTTTCTCCTTATGTAAGACCGGGCGCTCCAACTGTTTTACAGCCTGATCAATCACTGAGGAGCTTCCATAAAGAACAGGAACAGCTCGCCATTCACAAGGGAGAGGGTCAGGGGTTGGCTCGCACACAAATCAAGAGCCACATAAAGTGGCCTAATGTTTGCAGACCGGAGGAGTGGATGGGGTTAACTTGACGGGCGGGGGGCTACGGTTCAGCCTCGGCCCGCCAAAACACGCCCATTATAAGTGGTCTGAGAGGGTCCCAAAGCCTTGAGAAGCCTACTGTTCTGAATGTAGGTTAATGATCAGATACTCAAGCAGATGACGGGAACAATGAAGCTTTTAATGCCGATTATGGGTTAAAAAAAGGAGGAGGAGGGGGGATTAGAGCAAAGGTTAGGGTCTCGGCGTGGGTCTTGTTCTTATTTCCACAGAGGCGCCATGCTCCCTTGAGCGAATTCGATACTGGAGAGCTTTTGGCCTTCTGGGGATATTTTGTATTGTGAGCAAAGTGAACAAAGATGCCTCGTCACCTTTGGACGGCGTCCCGGTGCCGGACGAGCGGTGGGCAGCCCATAAGACACAAGCACACCTGCGTGACGGCGGCACGGATCCCGTCTGCTGCCGGGGAAGTGTCGGCACCGCAAGGAATTCCAGCTACTTGGTTCCATAT